CACTTCTTGACTTTACAAAAGCCTTCATTCCTTCGTGTAAGGAGATAATAATATGAAGAATTTTTCTGGAAGACCTAATTTCGACAAAACTTTCCAAAGAGCATTTCGAGATACAGTATCGAAAAGCTTTGTGAAGTCTACAAAAACAACAAACAGATCCTTGTTTTGTTCTCGTGTCTTTTCCTGGGCCTGCCGAAGACAAAAGATAATATCCACGGTTGCTCTACCGGATCGAAAACCGCACTGGGTCTCTGGCAATGCCGACTCTAAGACAAATTCATTAAGTCCATTTAGGATGATACAAGCAAGGATTTTGCCAGCAATCGAAAGAAGAGATATTCCTCTATGGTTGTCATATTCACACCTGTTCCCTTTGCTCTTATACAAATGAACAATTGACGCATCCTTATACTGCTGTGGCACTTCACCCTTTTCCTTACACAAGGTTGAAAAATTCACAAATTTTGCGTATCAAATGATTGGTGCCACATTTGTATATTTCAGCTGGAATTCCATCTTCGCTAAGACTTGCCATAATATGTATATATATGTATATATATGTGTGTGTGTGTGTGTGTGTGTGTGTGTGTGTGTGAGAGAGAGAGAGAGAGAGAGAGAGAGAGAGGAGGGGAAAGTGAGTATGACGATAAACTACATCCGGCAGCAACGCGTGGAACCACCTCAATTGCTGGTGTCCCTTGGTCCGCCCTGACCCAAATTGGGGGTCAAAACACTATGAAAGTGTAAAAATAGGTTTTAATACCATCAATACAATTTTTTTAAAAATTATTACCAGCAATACATTTTTGGAAAAAATAAATTACCAGCAATATATTTAAAAAAAATACCAACAATACATTAAAAAAAATATTACCAACAGTAAAAATCTTGCCGGCGTTAAATAACCAATTGAGGCTGATATGCCGTAAAACAAACCAAACCAAATCAAACGAAATCAAACCAAATCAAACGCTATAACTTTTATATAGTCGTGATTTAATTCAATTTTCTCTTTATTTCTCTAGTTTTTTTTTTTTTGTTTGCCTAAACAAATATTAGACGACACTATTCTTCATGTTGTCGGAGCTGTCACATTACTTGAAAATATCCTTACTGTTTTCAAGTGAGCCCTCGACCAAACGGGCGTCATTAATGATGAATTTCGTTGATTTTTAAATCCTCTTTTTATTTCTTTATTTTTATTTATTTTTTTTTATCAAGGACATTTACTTGCTGGAATAAAATATGCTTTTTACTGCCATACTACTGACACTGCCCAACTTAGCCTTGGCTGGACGTGTTTTTGGTAAGTTTTACATTAATCATATTCACTCCCTTCTCATTCTTTTAAGTTTTGACATATTTGTTTGCGTTTGCGAATGCTCAGAGACAAACGTACATTTACTTCAGTACACACCTTTTCCCACTTAAAACATAAATATCCTTTGTTAGATTGCAACAAGTTAGAAAATATCAAATCTGTACATCCCGTATGATTTGTTGCAAGTACTGATTCTAGTTTGACTAAAAGCAGTGGTACAATATTTTTCACATGTGAATGACGGGTGTAAGCAAATGGAAGATAATTTCAACAAGGCGATATTTTATACTAGCAGTAGAGTCCGGCGTTGCTCGGGGGTGTAACAGTAAGAGATAGATCAAGTATCGACCATCATAAAGACTGAAAAATAAAATTGACAAAGATTATTGTTTAAGGTTGACTGACACACATGTCTTAATTAGTTTTTTGTTTTGTTTTGTTTTTTTTTTGTTTTTTTTTTATGAATTGGTCAAACCCAAACTCAAACAAAAACATTGTTTTCAATCATTATGAGTCTACCGATTGAATAGAATTTTATTATAAACAATTGTCTTGTAAATGGAATTTTTAAAGCATTCTGAATGTAAAAATAAAGAAAAAAAAGTTTGCAAGATAATAAGAAACACTACATGCCAAAAAAAAAGTGAAGTTTTGTTGAAATCGGTTGAAAAATGTAGAAATCCGATCCCATATACACACACACACACACACACACACACACACACACACACACACAACCAACCTGGGTTTTATGATAAGTATAACTCGTTATGAGTTGTCCCCTTTCATTCTCGATGCCTCTTAATCGTGTTTTCAAATTGATTTCGTGCAAAAACAATTGTGTTTTTCCAATTTGGGGCGCTGTCAGAACCACCGCAAGGTAATTTTACGTAGTCCTGTGAAGTTTTGTTGAAATCGGTTGAAAAATGTAGAAAATCCGATCCAATATATAAACGTACAGACACACACACACACAAACTGGGTTTTATAATAAGTATGATTTCTGTTTTTATATAAATGAGTAAAAAGACAGAGAAAATACACTGGTATGTATGCAAAAGACAGAAGATATTGAAAAATAAGTGGATGATGCACGTTTATATATATATGTGTGTGTGTGTGTGTGGAAGTTCAATCACTAAAAGGAAAGATATCCTCCATACTTTGGAACAAGGTCAAGTTGGGGGGTACCTCTACTGCATGCTAGAAGGAAAAAAAGAGAAGAGAATGAAAACAGGAAGTGTCCCGTTTTTATAGATGCTTGACAGCGCCACCTAACGACTTCTTGGCAAAACTGTTAAATCTATTTGGGGATAACCCACAGATTTTTAAAATGGTATAATAACAGCAGGAATGTCCTGTTCACTTAAAACTAAATTATTGTCAATAAATAAAGATCATGCCCCGTTAGTATGTCAATATATCCTTTTAAGAAAGTTTTGTCATAAATAAACTACGCACTTTCGAAGCGATTTATTTTCAACCAGCCTTTGCTATTAATCCGTTCTTCAGACGGTAATATATCAAGACTCCTACATTTTGAAACTCCCGCCTTCATCCAATCACGAAAAAATGGAACACCTGGCAATTTTTTAAATTTTTAATAGAAATGGTCATTTTTTTAAACAAAATCATTCACCAAAGTTTGTATGTGTATCCGCTCAAAATCTTAAAAATAAAAATATATGAATTTGATTGGGTTGAAATATTACCTAAAACTGACACATCAAATAAATGCGGCTTTTTAATCATTGGGATTTATCCGCGTGCCTACTCAAACGGAAAATATCACAAGACCAAAATTAAACTGAGAGTCAAACGCATACATGGGTCCACAGGTATAAAGTGCTCAATCTTTCTCAGCATTTTCTCCTTAGAGACGTCTTAGGCGTTGGAGATTAAGTCTAACTCTACCTACCTCCAATAGATGTGAGCATGTCAACAACTGCAACCCACTGCCAAATGTAGGTTTTCTCGTTTATATCTAGCATAATTTATGTTATAATTTGCCAAACTTAGTATTTCTTACTTAATAACAATTAATTTATAGGTTCATCTTTAAGAATCATATTAAAAAAATGACTTTTGTCATTCAATTTTTAGCTGGTCTTTTGTGACATTTAGAAATAAGCAAAGATTTTGTTGATAGCCTTTGTAATTACTAAATTGCGTGGTTATTTAAATAAATCTATTTTCAGCTCTGAAAGTGGTAAACATCTTAGTATTCATTATTTACATTATTCGGAATAATGTAAATAGTGTACATAATACCTCATCACAGAAATATAGACAGACACTGAAAGGCCGAAACATTGTAATAAATCTGGCAACAAAGATGAGGACAATAGTTCGAATAATGTAAATAATGTACATAATACCTCATCTCGTTTCGGCCCTTTAGTATCTGTCTATATTTCTGAGATGAGGTATTATGTACACTATTTACATTATTCGGATAATTGTCCCCAACTTTGGCGCCATATTTATTACAACGTTTCGTCCGTTATACGCTCCCAAAGCCAAGCTGCCAATATTTGTCCAATTCCTGAACTTATCGACAATATCCAGCCTTCCGATAAAGTCCCGAAATGGTTTTACGTGCGGGTTGTTAGTACCCGATCTAGTGCCTGTGCGATCTATATCTGGATCGAATACGACATTCTAGTCACCCACTAAGACTATCCGCCTAAATGTCGTCAGAATCGGATCGATCCTACTGAAGAAAGACGGCCCGATCCCTGGAGTTGTTGGGCGCATAAACCCCAATGAAACGAAAGGTTTGATCTTTTATAGTGATATCCACGACGCAAAGACTGCTCACCGAATCTGCGAAGACAAGCGCTCACACAGTGTCCAAGAAACGTTTTACCATCCAAGTGACCCCGAACGGCCATCATAATAGGCTGAGAAGAAGTCGAAACTGCTCGACAGTATAAATTCACGGTCGCCAGAACAGAAACGAGTCTCCTGTATAGCGCAGATATCCATCTCCAGGCGCTGAAGGTCGCGCTCGAGCCTAACCCTTCGAGATTCCGACCTCATCCCCAGGGTATTCAGACTAGCTAAAAAGAGACATGTCTAGATTGTCTAGGGTTGGCCGCCTGACCTAAACATCGTCGGGGTGAGCATACCGACGGCCTTGCTCATCGACCTCTGGTCCGTCTTGATGTGACCGTCATTCGCCGATATGTGACCCCTGATATGTATTTGGACAAGTCTAAGTCCTTTTCTGGGGAGATGTGTTCATCTCCACAACACTTAGCTTTTATACATTTTGTTAAAATTTTAGATCGAGAATTGTCTATATTATTGGTCTACAAAATGATGTCAGTTTTTGTGGGATATCATACGTAAAGCTTTGAAACAAAGAAACGTATGCGTAGTCCAACGGAGCAAGGAGAAGGCACTTGGCCCGTACAACGCTGGGTATCCTTACTAGTTGTATTTAAACTTTAATAAAAACAAATTTTATGTTGACTGAAAAATAAAATGAAATTTAACGTTTATTATTTTTCCTAATCCTCTCCATATTATCAGAAAAGCATATTCAACGATTTGGATTTCGCCTTGTCAAACTGTTTCAAAAAGAGAATCTTTTCTGTTCAAATTTCTGGAATTAAGAGTTTATTATTATGTGCATTATTTACATCCGAATTGTTGTCCTCATCTTCATTGTGGCTTACGGCCACATCACGTCGAAACACCGATTCCTGTACGATCACAGAAGTTAAGCAACCTTGAGCTTGGTCAGTACCTTTATGGGTCACCACTTGGGAATGTCAGGTGTTGTAAGTTTCGATATGCATACGGTGTGATGGATAATGGCTTGGAATTGTTAATCGGAGAGCCGTGTTCCAATTCTAGTTGGGTTTGTTATATTCACTTATGAGCAAATATCCTTGGGAAAGATATGAATCTGATTCTTCTCCCTGCCAGCTATGGGTTAATTAATAAGAACTGTATCACTAAATCATTATTACCTCCTCCCAACCCCCAAATTCTTGCAATGTAAAAATATTTTCTGGTTTTAAATAACCTGCAATGGGTTGATAAGCCGTAGAAAACGAATCAATTATTCAGTGAAGCAATCATATTCGTTGTTATTACAGTGTTTCGGTCGTTTTCCCTCTGACCTTCATCAGGTGCATGTCGGTCCGGGTAACCTTCAAAGAATTTTAAACTGAACTCTTTATTTAATGTACGAAGATAGATTGTTCTCGTTCTGTTGTTCATGTCTCAGGATAACTTATTCTTATTTAGTAATGCTTAGCTATAACTAACTAGCAGCATGGCCCGGCGTTGCCCGTGCTTGATTCAAAAATCGTACGACTCATACAGCAATCGCTATCACTTGACGTAAAATATTTTTGCCCGTCCTTGCCTTTAAAGGAGTGCCTTTTGCCGTGCTGATGTTGCTACATGCCTTACTTCTTACCTCACACTGCGAATTTTTTCTAAAGTCTATACTAAACATTAAATCTGTTACGAAAAAAGAACTAAACAAAATGAACACAAAGCGATCAGCTTTAAAAAAGGACTCGTAACTGGAAAACTCAAATGAAAAATGAATGTTAACAACAAATACTTTTTCACACCCAACCCAGTTCTGCGGAATCAGAATCAACATTGAGTTTAAGCAAGCGAATGAACTAATTGAAGTAAATTGCCATGCAGATTAAAATTTTCACACTTGTGACGAATGCAGCTATCGATTTTTTTTGCATGCTAGCATGCTAGTTAACATTCGTGTCAGTCAGCTGTTGGCTCTCACGCTAGTCAATAGAATCTTTCTGCCTATTTGTAGCAGCCAGCTATAGGCTCTCACTCTGGCCAGTAGAAAATGGCCGCAAACTACATGAAAACTGCCATAGAAGCATGAAAAAATCGATTATTTCCACTATCGATGGGAGTTGGGAAATGCAAAGTCAGTCTTGGCCTTTCCGCTAACTTGGAGCATGTGCATGTAAATTTTGGTGCAAATCCGTCAAAAATTGCGGCCGTGCATTCGTTACACACACACACACATCCTGCCTTTTATAGATAGAGATTAATTATTTGAAGCTAAAAACGAAAACCGCTTTTAAAAACCTTTCTTTATTCTAAGCGTCATATAATCGACTTAAAAACAAAGATATATATTTCCACTTGCAGCCTTGCTGCTAAGCTTAACTTATAAAATAAAGTTTATTACTTGTTTTGTTTTGTTTTTTACGAGCCCGGTTCGGGTTCTGTAAATAATTGTTATTTTAAAATATAACTACCAATTTGAAAGTAACTGAATCTTAAATCTCCAATATTTCTTTTCCTCTGGACGTTTAATGTTTATTGTGGACGAACTGCTGTGTCACGGTAATGCCCAAATAAATATAATGTCGTAAGTTGGAATCATGACCGACTTTGTTAAAAATCGCACTCACCTCAGTGTTGTAAACCAATGTATCGAACTTTTACATTGATATTTAAATATTTTAAATTGGATAAAAACAAATCTAATACAATTATTTCTCTAAAACCTCATCGATGCTCACATGTTCAATATCCTCATCATCCTTCTGTAGAACCACATTTCTGATACTTCAAGTCTCTTCTTCATCTTTGAGGAGATTCTATGTAAATATCCTTTTCTGTGCTATAGATTTACTTTGCCAGATGCCTGACAGTAACCAATCAGATATGTCCTCTAAAGACTGACGTACTATGTATCACTGTTCATGACTAGGAGTACATTTTATAGCAAAATTATCAACAATACATTTTAGGATCAAGAAACTATATATCTAAAAAATCTTACCTTTACTCAAAAAGTATAAAATTATGTACAAAATATATTCAGTTGAAGCCATAAAATTGCATTCAAAATATTTAAATTTCGGCATTAAATAACCCATACAGGTGTTAATATACCATGAAACAAACTCAACAACAACAACTACACTGTTTCAATTTTACTTTTGTATTTCGACTGCAATTTAAAAATCAACATGAGTCAACGTTTTTCAATACACCGGCAGCGTCTATTCTCTTCAAAAAATCTTTTAAGTTCCCAATGACAAACATGAAAATTAGAACAGTGTATCATTGGATCAAAACAATGAATTTGCTTTATTTATTCACTATGGTTGATCTTGTACAAGGCCCGGGGCCACTCGAGGTAGAGGTTTACGTTAAGGGACAGTTTATACGGATATAAGCAGGAGATAACGTTTAACTCTAGACTTGATCAGGTTAAGATTGTATTAATCAGTTCCGTCTGTGTAATTATCGTGGATATAATAATGTCCTTAATGGTGGAAATGCGAGCTGGGAGAATATTATTTCTTTTTCCATAGCTCATCCTTTATCTGGTCATTTCGACGTGACATATGATCAACTCTCATTATCTGGTGATTTGGTGATGTGATATTTAACCTCCATTAACTGGCGACAACGATATTATTACCCCCCCCATTATATGTCTAAATATGTATATATAAAGTCCTCCACGTGTTGAATTTTGAGAGACAGCCGCCTCATCCATTACAAGGTGTCAGTACCTCAACCGCTACAATTTACAAATAAGTTGATGATAAGTAACTGGTGGTTAAATGATTTTTAAGGAAATTTAAAAAATAAATGTTACCTCTTTTCCGTAAGTTAAAGTGGAGAGACATAGGTTCAAAATTAAAAATAGACTTGTGGGTATGTCTTGATTAACCAATTAAATGTTAGATCTACGCTAAATATAAAAGTAAGGTCAGAAGTTGGAGGTGGGTTAGTTATTTTTTCATGTCAAGATAAAGCAGAATATAGTTCATCATAGACGATTACGGAAAATATGTCAGCGACAAATGTATCGTGATTGTTCATACAACACATTTATGGCTGACATATTTTTCTTATGTCTCCTCCTTTAACTTTCGGAATCTTTTGTGTAGTGATTTCAACATGTTTTTATTATAATCTCTTATAATAAAAATATATATTGCTCTACTTTGTATTGAGTACTTTTTTTAAAAGTAAATGCATCGAACAGTGGATTTTTACTCCATCTGTCCTTTCTCTCATTTGGATATATATATATATATCTTACTTATTATAAAATGCAGATTGTGTGTGTGTGTGTCTATAACGTTTATATATTGGATCGGATTTCCTACATTTTTCAACCAATTTCAACAAAACTTCACAGGACTATATAAAATTGCCTTGTGGTGGTTCTAACAGCGCCAAAAATGGGAAAAATATAATTGTTTTTGCACAAAATCAATTTGAAAACACGATTAAGAGAATGAAAGGGGGGCAACTCACACCGGGTTGTTTGTGTGTGTGGGTTCCTTTAAATATGGGATCGGATTTCTTACATTTTTCAACCGATTTCAACAAAACTTCACTTTTTTTTGGCATGTAGTGTTTCTTATTGTCTTGCACACTTTTTTCTTTATTTTTACATTCAGAATGCTTTAAAAATTCCATTTACAAGACAATTGTTTATAATAAAATTCTACTCAATCGGTAGAGACTCATAACGATTGAAAACAATGTTTTTGTTTGAGTTTGACCAATTCATAAAAAAAAAAAAACTAATTAAGACATGCGTGTCCGTCAACATTAAACAATAATCTAACGATCTCTACTGATCGTACGAATCCAAACATCGGATAATTCTTTATCTTTAGGGAAAGATAATGAAATCTAAATATACACAAGTCCTCCTAACTAAAAAATAGTAACCGGAAACTACTTTAATTTAAATACACATGGTGTCCAATTTTTTTTACTGTATTCAATAAGTAAAAATCATAAATTGTAAAAGATTATTATTACAGAAAGGCTACTAAATGAATAAGATTTGTTAGATCATAATTAATAAACCCAAATAAAGTCAATATTTTTTGTATTAGAAACAACGAGTGGAAAATATATTCAAATCAGAATTCTAATTATGAATCACCACAAGCAAAATATGCAATTTTTTTTACTGTATTCAATAAGTAAAAATCATAAATTGTAAAACTAAAAGATTACAAAAAGGCTACCTATATTTTTTAACCGATTTCAACAAAACTTCACTTTTTTTTTTGGCATGTAGTGTTTCTTATTGTCTTGCACACTTTTTCTTTATTTTTACATTCAGAATGCTTTAAAAATTCCATTTACAAGACAATTGTTTATAATAAAATTCTATTCAATCGGTAGAGACTCATAACGATTGAAAACAATGTTTTTGTTTGAGTTTGGGTTTGACCAATTCGTAAAAACAAAAAAAAAACAAAAAAAAACAAATTAAGACTTATGTGTGGCAACCTTAAACAATAATCTTTGTCAATTTTATTTTTCAGTCTTTATGATGGTAGATACTTGATCTATCTTTTACTGTTATATCCCCGGGCAACGCCGGGCTCTACTACTAGTATATATATATATATATATATATATATATATATATATATATATATATATATAGATAGATAGATAGATAGATAGATAGATAGATAGATTATATTGTATTTAATCCTTTTTATGTTTTAATTTCAGACTGTCCAGCAGATTGGCGAACTCACGGTCTGGAATGCTATTATTTCGTATATTTTCCAAAGCAAGAATTTACCGATGCCATAAACTTCTGTGAAGTGAGTGCCTATTAATACGATGCTCTAATTCAGGTCTCGGTTAAATTTTCTATTCTTCAGACTCGATTGTATATTAATGAGTGGACATTAGATCAGATAAATGTCATAAATTAACTTGAAATATGTGAAATATGCATTTAAATACATCGAGGTATCTTTCACCTCAAGTCAATGAATAACGCA